ATTGAAAAGCAGACTTGTAGATATATAAAAAGGTGACCTCAGTCACTGACACACAGGTAATAACTTCCTGCTTTCACAAACGTGAGTCATCTTCAAGATAGCGGTGCGTGTGTGTGTATCCTGCTTGTGTGTCTCTTTACATCCATGTTTATGTTTGTGTGTATCCAGAGGTTGATAAAGATGGGAGATGAAACAGATTACAGAGCTGGCACAACGCAGCTGCCGTCTCCTTCCATTTATATTAGGTCTGTGAACAACTTCTTTTCCTCAACATTTCCTGAGAATAAACTTATTAAAAACACTAATGAGCTAAATTAGTTTTAATTCCCACTGCTATTGTTTGTTGCTGAATTCTTCTTTCCCAAAGACAGTAGGACAGGTGTAACAATCCCCTGACTGTAATCCTTAGTGTCTGTATATTAAAGTGAGACAGAGTAAAGCAATGTGCAGAAATCAAACAAAACTTGATTTGTATTAAAAACAGAGGGTTACTGTCTGCACTTGCTTGCTAAAAATGACTTAGTAATGGTTTAAAAAAGTCCACACTCTGGGGGTATTTGTCAAAAATTTTTGTTTACCTCCTCTGCAGTGTTGGGACTAACAAACAGGACATATAATATTTCCTGTCACATTCACTCAGTTACTATTGATGGAATTGCATGGGGCACAACAGAGCAGCATAAAAGTGAAAGAAGCACATAAGTATCAGTCTAAATGAAAAAAAATGTCACTCTGCTAAAATCTCCAAACCTCAATATTATGTTTCAAGGATTACACACTTGTTTATGGGTTAAGAAGATCAGACCAACTTTGCTCTTATGAATCCTTTTTAAACCCCCTCCGGATGAAGTCGGAAGTGTGCGACATTAAAGGTAAAAAACAAAGCCTGCTTTGTCTTAGTCAAGGAAAAATTGCCATTTTGGAAATAATGAACTTGTAGTGGTCAAGAAAACACCAAATACCTTTGAAGCATATTGTCAGTGTAAGCTCCCCGGTTTCATTATCCAAACAGTGAGAGGCACTGGTTTGTATGTAGTAACACCCCCTTTGGTCTGGAAACTGTCACGGAAGATGAGAGCGCCACTTCTTTCAAGGTCTTTGACTGGATGAGAACACAGAGCTCCTTAGCTTTGATAGTGGCTTCACATAACCTACCTGAGCTGAAATAGCTGAATGGAAAAGCTTACATACAATATGCCACACTGACTGCTACTGACTTTGCAAGGGCAGCTCTGATACCAGGGAGCCATGAACAATGTACAAACAATGCTTGTTAGCTGCATCTGCACTTGTTGTCAGTCTGCATGATAATGATCCACTATAGCTCACTGTCTTAAACCCCATAAACCAGTGGTGGCCAGTCCAGTCCCCTGCTTATTTCCCAACTATCCCTGCTCTTCCCACTGCTGACTACCTGGATCAGGTGTGTTCAGTCAATCAGAAGCTGGAAGATACCATTTTAGATGAAGGTGGTGTGAGGAAAGACAAAGTGAATTGGTATCTTCCAGCTCCCTCTTCTAATCTGGATGAAAAAATATTTGCTGTACAATAAAATATATTTTTATATGTAATCCATTTCTCACAATGTGACTCTTTCTCTAAATCCAAACAGATGGTAACCAGAAACAACATATGCTCTTGCTTAGTTTGTACTGTACAACAAAAGTCTAAATTAGTTTCTGAAAATCTGTTTTAATGGAATAGAATCAATGTTGTTTCCCAATATTTCATATAATGCTATATTTATACAAAATCATTTAAAACAATCAGAGGTTTTTGTTGTTTTATAAAAAGGGCAAGCACATAGAACATGTTATTTCTATCTAATGGCATGCAGTTGGGAAACAGGATAAAAATATTTTTGCACAACAGAGTTAACAATCCTCAGTTCAATGTGCCAAAGAATGGGTAAATATTCCCATGGAAGCCAGGTATTCAAGTTAAATGATGTTTGTCCCATCACTTGGCTCCAAGGAGGGGACTATCAGCCCCTGCTGTCATAAATCTTCAAGGCTCCAAAACAAGCAACACTATTTTCCTAACCTATACTAAAATGCACATCCAGCAACTTCATAGACACCATTACCTGGGCAAAAATCAGGCCATCCTGTTGACTAAAACCCACCAGTACAGTTACAAACACTCATTACCAACAGGACTGCCCAAGCCCCTGTTTGCTTGCAGCAATTAAATATCAGAAGACATCACGTTTTTGCTTTCTATCCTCTCTTCACGGTTCTACTAAAATTATACCAACCACAAGAAACATATACCAATAGCAACACCTCTGAATAAAATATCTGTATTATCAGCAACCTCTGTATAAAATGTGTTTTCATCTAAATGGTTAGAGCCTTGGAGAATTCTGGAAATAGACTGTAAATTAGCTTTAAGTGGTGTTAAGGATCTATTTGGTTTTTCAAAGGTCACTGGGTAATTATTTTTCATAAGGTCCAATGGTTAGCTCTGTGACTCAAATGTAATGGTAAACACGTGAGAGGCACATGTAGACTCTGTTGTTGAGTGGTCTTACTGATAACACACCAAAGTGTCTGCGGCTGATTCCTGACCTGCAGAATCCAACAGACCTTTCTCATTGCATACTGGCTTGACAAAAAGAGGCTAATGTGAGTATTGACTGGATTTCTTTTTAGATGTTTGTGCATCCTGAATCCCTGGTATAGTTCACCGATATTAGCGGCACCTTCTGCTTTTACTGCCACGATCAGCCAGTGTCTGTCAGGTGCTATAATAACCACAACAAACTACCAACAAACCATTGCTAATTTTTTCTACTAAAATAATTTTTTTATTTTTAAAATACACCTTATTATAGCATGCCAATACCAGGCCATACACAAAGATACTGTACTCACAGTTGCCAACAAAGTCTCCTCAATAATTAATTCATTGAATTATTTATTCATTAATGACCTTATCGTGGTTGTCTGGGAGAAGACGGTGGATTAGCCAGTCTCAGAGGAGATACAGTTCTGTGAAAAAATTTGTATCCCATTACTATGAAATGGCAAAAAGAATGAAAAATTTTTTTTACTAATTCTCACCAATATAATATTTAATGCACATCCAGCTAGTGCCTATGATCCCTCATCAACAGAAGTAACAAAAATGTTCAGGGAATGGATAAAAACAAAGTTATAGTAAAATAATGAGAAAAAAGTCTTTGTTTTACTTTTTTTTGCTATTTCAAAGTAAGGGGACTCAAACGTTTGCACCCAGCTGTACATGTGTTCCCTCTGTCTTTCCCTGCTTAGTGTTTGTAATGTGAATGTGATGCAGATAAAGAGCAACATTATGCATCCAAAGCCCTTCGCTGCAAACATCAATTGGGTTCTATGGGTAGTATGAATAATGTTGGTCTCTTAAATGACTAGGGAGGAGAGAGTTCTCCAAATGCTGTTATTTTGGAAAGTTTAATTGAGAGCTACATCAGTGAGACTGGATTTATTAAGACTAGCCATCACTCCTATAATCATTTGATTTGATTTTGATTTGATTTGATTTATTCATTCAAGCATGTAAAACAGTTGATATGTCAACACATGTAATTTCACACATATCCAACAATAATAATCCAATATCAATTTACTTATACCTAGTACATGCTTGAACGAAGTAGGAAGAAGTTAGACTTATCTAGTCCTACCCCATGACATCATCTTACAACTTTTAAGTCCTAAGCAATATCTCTACATAAACAATTATCCTCTACACCACACAAGTAATATACTACAGAATTATTACAGAGTGTTAACATTCTTACATAATTACATTCATAGATAATTATCTTCTACGCCACACAAGTAATATACTAAAGAATTATTACAGAGTGTTAACATTCGTACCCCACACCCACAACGTTCCATCTGATTAATCATTAAACCTGTTCTTGCATATATCTTGATTGA